ACGTATATACGTATGTATAATTTTGTATGTATATATGAATGTATATATTAATTCATGTATGTATGCATGTATATATGAACTGTTTGTGCCACAATGTGCCATTCTGTGTATTCCTTTGTGAAGAGGATTGTGCCCGTCAATGGCCAGAAGTCTTTCATCTCATTTAAATGTTTTTCTAGCCCTGTGCTCGCTGAATAGTTCGGGGTGCATTGATGCGCAACCCCAGCCGAAATCTATATATATAATATGCATGTAAATATGTTTGTACATATGTATGTACATATAAAAATATATGCATGTAAATCTGTTTGTATGTTTGTATGGTTGTATGGTTGGATGCATGCATGCATGCATGTATGTCTCTGTGTGTGTATGTATGTATGAATGTATGTATGTATGCATGTATGTATGCATGCATGTATGTATGTGTGTGTATGTATGTATGTCTGTATGTATGTATGTATGTCTGTATGTATGTCTGTATGTATGCCTGTATGTATGTATGTATGTAGGTAGGTATGTAGGTATGTAGTTATGTAGGTATGTAGGTATGTACGTATATATGTATGTATGTCTGTATGTATTCAGATATATATATATATATATATGTATGTATGTACGTTTGTATGTGTGTAGATATGACTGTAAAAAAAAACATTGTCTTTATGACTGTTAATGTGTACATAGATTAGATGTATATAAAAATATAATATATATATATATATATATGAGTAATGTATGGTGATTGATGGCCATCATCCAGGAGGGGAACTGTTGCAGCTGTCGGTCGCAGCTGTTTCTAATCCACGTCGCGATGCGGGTGGACGGCTGGTGGTTCCCGAAATTACACGTGGCCCGCGTGGCTGAAGGAATGGGCTTGAAAATGGGGGAAGTAACCGTAGGTTAACTGCCAAAAGAGCCACTTAATATCACTAATCAACGAGAATATGATGATTACATACATGAGCCGTTGTCAAAACTCGTTGTACTCGCTTGGTTCCCGAAAATTGGGTATCGCTTTCGGGGGGTGCCTATCGCTATCCATGTTTTTGCAAAGAGAGGCAAGGAAAAGGAGCGGAAGAGGAAAGGAAAAGGAAAGGGAAAAGGAAAAGGGACAGGGAAAGGAAAGGAAAATGATTGGGAAGAGGAAAAGAAAAGGAAAGGAAGAGGAAAGGAAAGGAAAGGAAAGGAAAGGAAGAGGAAAGGAAAAGGATTGGGAAGAGGAATGGAGAGGAAGGAAAAGGACTGGGAAGAGGAAAAGAAGAGGAAAGGAAATGAAGAGGAAAAGGGATGGAAAATGAAAAGAAAAGGAAGGGAAGAGGAAAGGGAAAGGGAGACAAAAGGACAGGAGTAAAGGCAGAGGAAGGGAAAAAGAGGAAAGGAAAAAAGAAATGATCTATTTGTGGTCTGGTCTTGGGTTACTTTTTGAACAAATGGGTATCGCTAAGGTATCGCTAGGGGTATCGGTATCGCTAATTTAGCCTCTTGCATGTGTAAAACAACTGCAGCTATGGACATTATGCACAATTATAGGTATCGCTTTTGGGGGGTCGTTCGCTACACAGTATTTTGTGCATTTTCCAGACAAAGCCATGCCATGATGGTGAAGGTTTCCGGACAATCATTGTCAGTGCTTCAGGAATGACTCCCAGTTGACGGAGTCACATGATGATTTTTGTCAGCATCACACTGTTTGTGATCAACTGGGGTAACCAAGGAACATATTTATGATTTCACTTGAATTCATCATGCTTCCGATCGCCAATTTTTCCTCATCATCTATGGTGGAAGAAATGGTTTGCGCCGGCTCAAAGCTCAAATAGAATCTTTGCTGGTTGCGTACCCAAGTTCAAGGTCGACGGGGGGGATTGACTTCCAAACCCTGGCTCATTACTTGGATGAACTTACCTCCCAAAAGTGAGCAGTAAAAATGGACCCCCCCCACATCACATTCAAACCGCATCAGGGTTCCTTTTGGAGCTTCAGGTTCCACCATCCGGCGATCTGCATGCCATGGAGTGCCACGGCGATGGCTTGCCAATGGCAAGCCAGCAGAAATTTGCCTTCAGACTCAGGGGCCCTGGGTTTTCAATCTATAAAACAATGCATAATTCATATATGAAAAATCAACTTTTTTGACATGTTTGACTTGGAATCGAAAAAAACCACATGGAAAATCAATGAACATCATGGCATATTAACCAGCTATTGACCCCCAATTATTCACATGGCCAACATGACATCCGCTGATGTCACTTGGAGAAGGCACGGGCCGAATGGGACTGTAAAAGACTAGCTGCAGGTTGCGGACATAAAAACAACAGAAAGGAAATGCAAATAAAACCCAAAATGGTTCGGAATATGACTATGATTTATTTATCATGGAATGTTGACATTGTAGTTTTCCCTTAGATTTCAGGTTGGTAAATCCACTACAAAGGTGAAATCATTGTTCTTTTGGGGCATGTGCCCTGAAGCTCGGACGCGCACACAATTGTACGGGTGAAACTCTATGTTTGGTAAACTCATACATCCATACATATGCATATCATGTATATAAATCATCACTGTCATCTTACATATATTCTGTAGGTGTTATATTATATATATGTGCGTGTTTATACCATTTTATGGCTATATAGCGTCCTACATGTATATCATAATATATCAAAATTATGGACAAGAGGTTTCCTCTTGACTAGTTGCTGCAACCCTTTCCCCTTGGACTCCTCATTTGAATGACATGGTGGATCGCGGATCATCATCTTTGCCTTTAAATAAGGTTTATTTGTTTCCGACTAAAAATACGATCTGCCACGCAGGCCACACGAAATTAGGATCTTTGTTCCGTGCCTTATAGAGGCATGATTATTAGAAGAAACCAAATCTTTACTCGTGCTGATGTACCATCCGAAGCAAAAACCTCACTATTCTTAGGTCATGCGGCAAAATCCCCGTTTTTTGTGGTAGGTAGAAAACCTGGTTCTGGAGATAAATCCGCTTCATCCACGTGGCGAACCCGTGACTGCATGGCTAATAGGGTTCTTCTACGTGATTTATATGTGGTTCTGATGCATGCGTCTATAAAAAACAAATAGAGACCAAGAGAGATACGAAATCTACATATGAATTGCGGACAAAATTACTGGTTCATGTTCATGCCATGCGCAAAAAAGGGTCGTTCCCTATCGGGAAGGTTTTGCACACCCCTCAGCCGGCCAAGGCGAAGCAAGACTCAATTCGTACAATAATTTCGTCGGTTACTCATATGTGTACATACACATAGCTAGATGTACACATCACATGTATACACTTATACATATATATAGCACATGTGTGTCTGTGCATAATTATATACACACATGCACTACACTGGTCACTGGAAGAATCATCTCAACACTCGACATCACTTCACTGTCCTGATACCCTGCTTGGCACATGGTGAAACGACGCTGATGACCGGGGTCGTGTGTCACAAGGAGGGATCCATGACGCCGCAAGGAACGGGACCGATGCACCCACGGATTCTTCAGGGTTTTGTGTTTCAATGTCTGATCATGACATTTTCAGACTTTTACCCAGTTGGATCCAGTTGGTCATGTTCAACATCTGATTTCACAGATCCCCGTTGCGTCGCGACGTTCCAGCATTTTTCCACAGCGATGAGCCGTTGAGCTCGCTGGCCGTGTCAAGAACCCCGGTCCCTGTAGTTGGGCCATGACTTGTGCTGATTCAAAAGATATTGGATGTGTAAAGTACAATTCATTCATTTCCAAAAGATAGTCAATGACTTATTTATCTATTTATCTTGATTTCTATATACAACCACCGTAGACCAATGACGTATGGCCGTTATGGTCAGTAGACGGATCAGGATGAACATGGATGAACAGGTTCATATTTCTCTTGTTGGGCTTAGAAGGGCTCCAAAGCACACCCATGTGAAATGTTGCGACTATCCTATGATTGTAAATCTGGTCTGATTTTTAACAATAAGAAAGAAGGTGGTCTTGGGATGATTCCCCTACTGACCATCCGTTTCTAGTGACGTCGTTGTGATGTTATTGCAATTCAGCCAGATCTCGTTGGACTTTGGAGGTTCTCCTAGTTTTGGTTGCCCACCATCTAGACTACGAGATTTTACCAGATCTGAGCAGGGAATGTTGAGCAGGGAGTCGTCAGCAATCATGAAAATTAGCTTCTCACAGTCAAAATCCGAAACATGACTTTTGAGTAATGTTGCTATTAGTCCCTTTCTTACTTATCGCCCGGGGCATTCTTTGCTACCTTTGTGCAGAGCAGCGCCGGGGACGCCAGCATCTCCAAAGGACGAAGGCCACGTCATACCCAGGTGGTATCCATGGACTGTGAACCCACAATCTTGCTCATTGTGTATACAGCCGTATTCATATATCTGCATACAGACATATATGTATGTGCAGTAAGTATATATATATATATGTATATATATAGAATGTAAATATATATATAAATATAGAATGTATGTATATATATATATATAGAATGTAAATATATATATATATGTAAAAACATAATATATATATATATGTAAGCGTTCAGTCTCTGGGATCAAGCATTTTTAGCAATACCAAAAAAAGAAAGGAGCTCTATTTGAATATTTGGATCTATTTGGTGTCTTAGTGACCCCGGTTTCAAGGTCTAGTACGAGAGAAGGTGGTATGGTATTCGCTGGTTTCACGGTGATGAAACTGCCAGCTTCAATGTGTATGATCACGTATCACATATCTATATATACATACATATATATAATGCAAATTTCATGTCCAATCAATTGACCCATTTCCATCGGAATCTGGGCACAAGGCCCCCCTAGGATCAGCGGAAAGAAGGGTAGCTGTGCCGATTTTACATGGTAGCCGGTTGCCTGGTTTTCTAGCTCACTTAGCGTTGTCGCGGTGAGCTGGTGGGTTGAAAAGACAAGAAAGAAGTGCAGTGCCATCTGAGCCCAGAGGCGAAGGATGGCAGGGACAATTCAGAGAACATCAGATGGAGTTCCCATATTTGATGGGTCACCAGAACTCCTTACCCTTTACCGTGAAGAAGCAGTTCAGTACCTGATGACCTTTGAGTACAAGAAAAGGTACCTGGCTGGACCCAGGTTGGTGAAAGAACTTCAGGGAACAGCAAAAACTGCCGGGAGAAACATGACGTTGAGGAATCCTCAATGGGTGTCGCATCCTAGGGGGGTCTTTGTCCTCTTGGAGCACCTGGAAGGGGTAGTGGCAAAACCAAGCTTAGTTGAAGCCTCTCGGTTCATCATGAAGTACTTCTATGGCCTACAGAGAAAGAAGTTTGAAACAATGACTAGCTGGATCACACGGCATTCAGAAGCCTTGTGGGAAGCGTCACAGTCTCTGAGGAAGGTTCAAAAGGAATATGGACCGAGGACCAAAGCAGAAAGCAGTCAAGGGTGGCATGATCATGGCCCTCGGAGTGGGGTTCCTAGCCAGACAGGCTCAGTGTCAGGCGATCCTGGACCCTTTAGAGATGATGGTCGGTTGGACGAGGCTGACGATGACGAGGAGAACTTTGGGAACTATGGCTGGTGGCAAGGCGAACATCAGGATTGGCGAGCTCAGGGACATGGCAACTACGGGTGGTCAGACTGGGGTTACCAATCTTGGCATTCCAAGGAATACGAACCACCAGAAAGCTGGGACACATCTTCTGAAGTGTTCTTACCAGAGTTCCTAGTGGGGTTCCTCCTCTTACATCGGAGTGGCCTTGACACACATGAACGGGCAAATGTGCTCGCTGCGATCCGGGGCGAATTCTCTCCGCAGACCGTGGCCAAGGCACTTCGAGAGCAGTGGTCCGATGACGACCTCAACAAGCGGGATCGGGCAAAGTTCGGGGCAGCAATGACAGCTGTCGGCGGCGAGGATGAGGAGCTGGAGGCTCTGATGGTGGATGATGATGATCACTTTCAAGATCTCTCTCACGAAGACCAACAGGCCTACATGCTTGAACAATCCCGAGTTGATGAAGCCCTGGCTGCCATCCAGACTCAGAAAACAACTCTCAAAGAAGCACGATGGAAGCAGAAACAACTGAAGCTTGGAAGGGGGTACTTTCCTCCGAAACCATACCAAAGACCAGGGCCCAGTGGGGGCTCAACAAAGAAGCCCGTGGGAGAAGGGTGCTTCAAATGCGGAGGACCGCATCTCGCTCGCGACTGCCCAAAGAAGATGGAGAAGGAGGCAAGGGTGAGTGAGGAGGCGGCCGAGATCGCTTTTGGAGTCACTCGCATTCAGGAGGACGACAACCTCTACGGCTCTGTGGTCGAAGAGACAGCCATGGAAGCCGTGGAGGGGGAGCAAGTCCTGAGAACATGCTATGGGATCATCGACAGTGGGGCCACATCCTCATTGGGATCCATTGACGCCTTGGAGGAGGTGATGAAAGCCAATTTGGCTACACATGGAGATTCAAAGATGGAGATAGACCTCAACCAGAAACCCACTTTCAAGTTCGGCAATGGCCAAAAGAAAACATGCCTGTCTACGGTCCACATGGGAATGGAGGCAGGCAGCAAAAGTGGGAGAATGGAAGTTCACGTACATGACTCGCCCATGCAGCCTGTCTTAGTGTCAAGAAAGGCACTCAAGGCTCTCGGGGCTGTCATTGACTTTGAGGAGGGTACCATCATCTACAAGCGGATCAACAAGAAAAAGGTGGTCAAGCTCAAGGAGGCAGCCAACGGTCACCTTCTGATGCCTCTGACCGGGAATTTGCTTTTAGGAGCTGAAGATAGATCACAGCCCTTTGAATCTCTAAGGGAACACTAGGGGTGTCGCTCTTTTGACGCTATGGACGGAGAGGGAAAGAAACTTTCCGGTCAAGAGAGCCTCAAACATGTAGAGACATGCCATGATAGCTTAGGGGAAGAGCTGTCTAGGGGTGATACAACAGACCATTTTGGAAGTTGTACAATATGCGGGTTAGAAGCTGTACAAAGGGCATTTTGCCATTTTTGCCAGGAACATGAGAGTCATGAGAACCATGGTTGTGGTGAGGGTCACAGAAACAACATACATGCTGCGCACACACAGCAGCAATCAACGTGCTCAAACTCTCAGGACACTCAGTACTCTGCCAGGCCTCACTTCAATGCCGGCACCAACGACGCGTGCTCAGTGGGTATCCCTGTTGGCCGAGAAGGGGACCGTGGTGCCCGACTCCTGGAGCGTCATGCAGATGAAAGCCCACTTGGCAGAACTCCAGCAGAAAGACCAACCAATCAGCAATGGAGAAATGGAGGTGCGCATCAAGGCTTTGAAGAAGGCATCGAACCGCCGTGCCGACTTGGTGAACTTCCTGACAAAGGAGGGGATTCCCTACAGTCAACATGCCACCATCGCCCAACTCTATGCAAAGGGAGAACAAGCCATCACCGAGGACTACGAGCCCCAGGGCAAGGAGCTGATGGGCTTTGGGAAGTTCGGAGGCCTCACCATGGAGGAAGTGATGGACCGTCACCCCAGCTACATGAAATGGGTGGTGGACACCTACCAGGAGACGGATCAGTTTCACTGGAGGCTGAAAAGGGCAGCCGTGTATGCCATGCAGGCTCAGGCCAAGAAGGACTACCAGGAACCACATCCCCAGAACACCAAGTCCAAGAAGGCAACTCCGCACATCAGTGCGGCCGGCAGCGATGGCAGTTTCGAGAAAGTGTCGGAGGGCAAGCACGAGTTTTCTCCGACTCAGTCTTTCCAGAAGACCAAGCACGTTTCCACGGATGCAGAGACCCAGATTGCAGAGCTCCAGCTGAAGATTCAGCAGCTCGAGAACGAGAAAGCCGAGATGGAACTCCAGGCAGCCCGCAGCAAGAACCGGAAGGAGATGTAGGAGGGCAGCTGAGGGTTTTGTCAAATGAAACTGCAGTGCTGTTTGCCAAAAGGTGGGAAACATGTCGGAATCCCTACAGTGACAATTGGTCCCAACTCTATCGCCATGGACGTCCCATTTTGATGGAGCTTGCTTGTTACCCCAACAGTCTTTTGAGCGAAGAAGTTGAACAAAGATTTGGAAAGGGTTCTAGCATGAGGGTTAGCAATTGGAATGGGGGAGACCTGGAAACACCTGAGGGCAGACAACTTGTAAAGCAGTTGATTCGAAAGCATCGGCCTCTTCATCTCTGGATAAGTTGCGAGTGTGGTCCATATAGTCCTCTTCAACATATAAACAAACGTACACCTGAACAAGTGAAGAACCTTGAAGAGAAACAATATCATGCTCGTTTACAGTATGCTGGAGGGATAGAAGTGGCTGAGTATGCGATGCAATATGGGACTGAAGTCCATTGGGAGCTCAGTGCAAGATGCGAAGCTTGGAAGCTACCTATGGTCAATGACTTTGTGACAAAACATGGGCTGGGGAAAGTGTCGTGCAATGGGTGCTGCGTAGGGTTGAGGACTGTTGATAAGACACAATTACTCTGCAAAGCATGGACTATTGCGACAAAGAACACCCACCTTCTTCGTCACATGAACTTGAAGTGCCAGAACAATCACCCAAAGGGGAAGTGCGAATCGGGGCAAACAGCACACACCGCGCGGTATACAAGTGTTTTCGTTCGTCGCGTCATTGACAGTTTGGTAGAACATGAAGCATGGTCACATGTAGTCCAAGAGTTGTCCAAACCTGATGTGGAGGAAACCTTTGCAGCAGAAGATGCGCAAGAACCGCAAGACGAAGGTGAGGAGATCACCGAGGAGGAGAAAAAGACCATCGAGGCCAAGATTCAGCATATTCATCGCACCACAGGACATGGGAGCATGAGGAGCTTGGTGGAGGCTCTTAAGCGGCAAGGTAGCAACAACAAAGTCATACAAATAGCCAAGTCATGGACATGCCCAACATGTGCAGAACGAAAACGTCAAGATCCACGAAGGTTTTCAACACTACACACAGTAGCTGCCAAATGGGAGGTTGTAGAGATCGATACTGGAGTGTGGATACATCCCGTCACAAAGAAGAAAGTATATTTTATACTATTTGTGGACTCAGGGTGTAGGTTCAAAGTTGGCAAGGTTTTATTTGAAGACTCTCGGAAAACAGCCACATGGAACGATCTCAAAACCGCTTTTGAGGAACTCTGGCTTCCCATCTTTGGCAAACCACGTGGAGTTCGAGTGGACCCGGCAGGAGCATGGCTGAACACACAAGCGGAATCTTATTTTTCACAACATGATATTCTGTTTGACCATATTCCTGCCGAAGCACATTGGCAGATCAGTGCCGTGGAACAAGGAATCAAGACCGTCAAGGGTATCATGGAATCTTTGGCTACTGACTTTGTGGACATGGAAATTCGTGAACTTTTTGCTAGAAGTATTTGGGTTTGCAACAACCAGGAGATCTATAAGGGATATTCTCCACTACAACATGCGTTAGGTAGAGCACCAGATGAACATCAACGTATGTTTGAATGTGATGATGTCAAACCTATCCTTCCCAGCGTTTTGGCTGACGGAGGTTTTCAAGAAGATGCCACTATGAGATGCAAAGCGGAGAAGGCCTTTGCAGAGGAACAGGCCAAGCGGAGACTGGAGAGAGCTGCACGTATGGGGCATCGAAGGGCTCAAGTGTATGTACCGGGGGATCTTGTTTATTACTGGAGAAAACAACTACAACCTGGAGATCGTACCAGTTTTCAAACCGGGAAGTTTTTAGGTCCCGCTCGGGTGATTGCTACTGAGACAAGAAAGGATGAGGACGGGATCCTACGTCCAGGGTCAGTAGTGTGGGTTCATCGGGGAGGGCGTCTTCTTCGTTGCGCCCCTGAACAACTTCGGAAAGCTTCTCCCCATGAACAACAAATTGAAGAACTTCATGGCCCAGTCGAACTTCCATGGACTATAACCACATTAGCAACTGACCCAAGTAGGAGGACCTATGTGGATATTAGTGGAGAAGTACCTTCTGAAGAAGAATGGGATAGGGCTTTTGATCAAGATCCTGAAAGACAAGAACCCGAACGAGATATTCCTACTGTACGTTTTCGTCGAAAAGCGTCAGCACAACCCGAGTCATACAGAGGGAAATTTCGTCAACCGCCTCCTATTCAAGAAAAGAAACGAAGTGAACAAGATATGGAATCAGGAGGTGCCAGCAGTAGCAGTAGGCCCAACAAAGAACCCCGTTCTGATGGTCATGACTCCGCCCTGTTTGTGACCGAGGAATCAAGAAAAGCATATGAGATTGACCTTCAAATTCCTAGCAGCAAGCGAGGAATCAAGAAGTTCACGCAGAACCCCGAGGCTTACATGGTCAACCAACTGAAAAGAAGGCAGGTAGAGGTGAGGGAGAAAACATTGACAAAGGATGAAGCACTACAATTTCATGCAGCAAAACAAACTGAAGTTCGCAACTTTTTGGCTTCCCAATGTTTCAAATCCCTTGGTGACCATATTCCAGAGGAATCCAAAGTCTTGGGAATGCGCTGGCTTCTGACATGGAAGTATGATCCAAAGTATGAAGATGGAAAGAAGGCGAAGGCCAGGGCAGTCGTTTTAGGCTATCAAGATCCTGAATATGCAACACGACAAACCTCGGCACCAACACCATCGAAAGCAGGTCGACAATTATTTTTACAATATTGTGCGTATCGCAAGTTTCGGTTAGCCAAGGGTGATGTCAGCGGTGCGTTTTTGCAAGGAATGGACATGCGAGAAGAACTCTGGTGTCGGCCACTACCCGAGATGTGCGAGCAACTTGGGATTGAGGAAGGCACTCCGATGCTTTTGAAAAAGGCAGCATATGGTTTAGTACAGGCTCCACTGTACTGGTATGAATCCGTATGTCACACTCTCTCACAGTTGGGATATCACCGTTTACAAACTGAACCTTGTTGTTGGATTTACCAAGATGATTCTGGCGTGGTTAGATCTATGATTCATGCTCATGTTGATGATTTTGTATTTGCGGGGTCACGAGATTGCCAAGTACATCAGCGTCTTATGGAACAACTCAAACAAGTGTACAATTGGGGTACTTGGGAATATGACTCTTTTGAACAATGTGGAATATTAATTCGACAAGATGATCGAGGAAATATTTTTCTATCACAACGGAGGTTCATTGAGGAACTAGAAGAAATACCTCTCAACCGTGATCGCTCACGGCAACAGGAACTTCCAACCACGGACAAGGAGAAGAGTGCTCTACGAGGACTTTTGGGAAGTCTCTCGTGGCTATGTGGGCAAACATGTTTCATGTACTCAGTGGATGTCAATTTTCTTATTACATGTATTCCAGTGAGCACCGTGGGCGAGATTGTGAAAGCAAATGCACTGGTGAGGAATGTGAAAAAGTGGCATTTACAAGAATTTCAAATTCACAGTTTTCATCCCGAAGATGAATTACACATGGTATGCTGGACAGACGCTGCGTGGGCCAATAGGCCAAACGGAAAAGACAGCACAGAGGGAATTTTTATTGGAATGACCAGTCAAAACCTGCTGCAAGGTCATGAGACCAATGTGTCCCCGATATTTTGGAGATCAGCGAAAACGGAACGGACATGCAGATCCCCAGCATGTGCTGAAACTATGGCTGCACTAGATGGTGAGGATGATTTATTGTACCTCAGAGTGCTTTGGTGGGAAATCAGCGGAGGGCATGTCAACACACGCTATCCAAATGAAGCTGCTCGTCAAACACCTGGTATTATTGTGACTGATGCTCGAAATTTATATGACAAACTACACCGAGCTACAGTATGTATCAAGGGAGCTGAAAAACGGAGTGATATTGAGGCCATAAGTCTACGAGAAAATGCTGAAGATAGTGGCGTTCAATTCAACTGGGTACATGGGGGAGCAATGATAGCAAATTCTCTTACCAAAACCACAGAAAAGGCTCAAGCTCTTTTATACATACAAATGGGATTTCGCTACAAGATCGTGCAAGATGACCAGGGAAGATCCGAGAAAGTCAGGAGAAAAGAAGGTCTGACACCTATGGAGGACACCTGTATCGATCTCGATCGACAGCGCACACAAAACACACACACAGCCATTTCAAAGTGACTTGGTACATAAGTTCCTGGCAAAGCAGATTCGATTCCAATGCTGTACGTGTTTCAAACTTTGGGACCCGTGCAAATTTCATGTCCAATCAATTGACCCATTTCCATCGGAATCTGGGCACAAGGCCGATTTTACATCCCCCTAGGATCAGCGGAAAGAAGGGTAGCTGTGCCGATTTTACATATAATATATATATATATATATTTATGGTACCCCCCCTGAAACCTACTTTTTTTTCATATTCATCACATGGTTGGGTCAAACGGGGGTTACCTTACATACACGCCTATTTTGCGGATTTTTTGGCAATAGTTTCAAGATTGGGTATTGTAATATATTGTAATATATATATAAATTGTAATACATAGTAAGCATGCTATTCAGATTGATTGAACTTGACTTCAATGATAGCATTCTGAGAATAATGCATTCAGAATGCAGTCGCTGCTAAAACTAAGAACTAAGATCTAAGATTCCCCCAGGACTCCTGAACACATCTTAGAATTTCCGAACCAAAACTAAGAACTAAGAAGTAAGATTCCCCAAAGACTCCTGAGCAAATCTTAGTTCTTAGTTCTTAGTTCTTAGTTTTAAATCTAAGATTCCACAAAGACTCCTGAGCAAATCTTAGATCTTAGATCTTAGATTAGGGAAAGAATGCATTCTGAACGCATTCCTCTGGAAATGCATCCATCTTGGGTTTCCCTTCTGTAGATGGGATTGATTTAACTACCATGAAAAGTTTCAACTTTGGGTCTTTTCCCCAAGCCTGAAAAATCAACGAATACACTGTGCCCAAGCAATGCATTTTCTTGAATGAACGCCCCACCATATTTCAGGAATGTATCACTCTTGTCAATGTAACATTGCAAAAAAAAAAGTAATGCTACACTACAACTCTTTTCGAAATATATTATTGTTTCCAGTGAATACTGCATAGACTAAGAGAGCTTTCTTATTGAAGTAATGCTATGCCCTTTCAAGTCACTTTTCTTCAGAAGGGGCACTGTCAGTCTCACAGAGGTAGCATTTGTGAGTTTTTTGTTTAAGCAAAGACGGCTCATATTTGTTCATTTCAAGTATATACAATTGCTGCCAAAAAAATGAGTGCATACTGTCCCTAGAAAGCACAATATAGCAGTACTTGTGCCACATGTGCAGCATTTTCTTTTAAACATCCAACTTGTTTTCCAACAAATATAGTGTCACTGAGAGAAAAACAATGAAACACATGTATGTGATTCAAAGTAATGGCTACATTTCTGAAGATAGTCTTACTTGTTTGAAGAGATACTGCATTTGATTGAAAGATGCCTTCTATGTTGCAGGGACTTTTTGTGCAATGTGTTTCTTCCTTCCAGACGTATTGTACCTAGTATGTTATGAAATGGGTCTGTGAATTAAGGAATTAAGGTATGCATATTTACATGTTGGAAAAACACTACCTGATCGAAATGAAGAGATATATTTTCAACAGAAACGGCTTTGTGCAAAGGAATGCTACCTATTGAAAAGGTATACTCTTTTTGAGGAATGCTACACCCTTTGAACGAAAGTGTCTGTTTGTAAAGCCTGCTCTTGTCAATTAGAACTGGTTCTTCAAGAGAAGGATGCATGTTTGATCGTCTCTTGTAGTCATTTACAGTGTTTTCACTGCGTTTTTCAAGTTGGGGAAAAGACCCAAAGTTGAATGATCTTTTTCATGTGGATTGAATCACTACTGAAAGGAAACTTTGCAGAGAGGTGGAGGTACTTGGAGGTACGTAAATTATACTTAAGACATAGTTTGGAAGGGGTAAGAACTAAGAGGTCCTAGGACCTCCTAAGACCCACACATCATCCAAAGTATTGAGCCACTGCAGTAGTGAAACAAGAGACAGAAGCTACATAGTAAGGAAAAAAAGGCAAAGACATATCTACCATATTGATCATCAAATGATATGTCTGCAAGATCTGAAAGTGTACAAAATCCGAAATTTCATGTGTCACAAGAAGGAACAAAAACATTGTAAAAACTCACGTAAAAAGTTAAAGTTGACGTTTGGCCACATCGCCGTGCATATTCTGTCCATGTTTGAATTGAAACCCTTTGTTGGGAGCACAATACGGTAGTCGAAAACGATGCAAATACAATCAAAATATGTCATTGTATCTACACATGAAACATCATAATTCATCACGTTCAAACATCCAAAGTCTTTACAATTCATCTACTGCAAACGTGTTTTCCATGAGCCATTCATGATAGACTGAACCAACTCCAGTTTGCTAAAGGATTGTTCACGAGAGGAAGTGCAAAGCTACCCACCACAAAATGGAATGGGAGAATAATAACAAAGGCCATAATGGGGGACTTTACACCCCTTTAATTGAACATAGCTATGGAAAATTGCTCAATTATATAAATACAGGTGTGTGTGTATATATATATACACAATATATATATATATTGCATATCATTAGATAATATATATATATATATATGTATATTACACATCTGTTACATATCCTTGTATATAGCATATGTATATTCAGATATACATATATACACATTCATGTACAGATATTTACCTATTCAAAACATTCAAACACCGTGATTTTCCAACAGCTGTGTTGAATCAACGGAGGGTAGCTGCTTTGATTCCTATCACTTGGACCTTCAGGTGCCTTTGGAGTGACAGCGTGACACGAGAGATGGGCAAGTGGTTTTGTAGTCAAAATACGCAGAGGGGGAATTGGAGGTTTCCTGAAATGGGGGACTCCTGGTTATCATCCATTGATGGATTTTCCATGGAATGACCCATCCATCTGGAAACCCCCCAATTGGATCCAATGAGGGTGTTCATCATACTCAATGTGCCCTTAAGGGAAGCTTCTTTCACTCTTGGTCCGAAAAAAAAAGGTCTGAACATGTCTCAACAAACCCAGGGCAAGGTCTGAAAAGTTGAACATCTTCGCCTGCTATCAGGGTGAAACGATCAACAATGTCCTTTTTTCGGAAAAAATGAAAAACAATGTCTTTCTGTATTTAACGTATCATCATTTGCCACAGCTCAGGTTCGAGTTTCCTGGGCAAAGAAGCAAACCACTAAATTACTCAATTCATCAACTAATCAGTGACATCCGGGGTAAAACCACCAACCAGTCTCATATTCACACATCCCAGCTTCAACTGGCGGGGAACTACAGTGGGCAGAGCCCGGATTGTCGATGCCAAGCCATCCACGCTTACGGGGGCGCATCGAAAGTGAGTTTTGCGGCGTCATTGGCGCCAAAAGGTAGCGTGGCCCCGGCAAAAATTGCAGGTTTCATAAGCTTTGCCGCCCAACAAATCGAACACGTAGGCGAATCATGGATGATTTTGATCATTTGTCAAACAACTGGACTTCGGTTCATGGGGTACCGCTAAAATTAAATGGGGTACCCCTGAAATTTGGTACTAGTCATGGAACCCACTTGAAATACCATGAAAATCTGGTCTCCTGATGCCTGGGCCTTGAAATGATTGGGGAGATTACCATGAAGCATCAAGGGCGGTGCGCAACGACACAAACGACACAAACGGCGTTCTTCCCACTGTTGCAGGATTCAAAACGTTTTTTGTAGATCTATACCACCAACAAATATGGAACAAGTAGTACAGTACAATGGGTAGCACACTGATTTATTTCATGATTCTTATGGGTACAAACGGAGGGTCTAGGTATAGAAACTTCAATGTCGGGGAGGTCTTGAATTGTTGAAGTATTTTTCATGGAACAACTTAGGTGGGTCCGGAGGTGATCAATGGTTGTGGGTCAAAAGCCTAGTAGCCAGATGATACCCTAAAATAGTCTGTTAATGAATGGTTATTCCGTTATTCCCCATTGGTTTTGACCCATCCCCGTATCTTTGTCTGCTGTTTTTGATTTTTTGGAATGTTCATGATGGTCCTCATCTTTCGCAGATCGAAATGCATAAGTCGTCTCCACCTTTGGTGGGATGTATGGGAGACCTCCTTGGTTGGTGGATGCTAAACCGCAGCATCCTTGGTATCGGGTTCGTTGATCTTGCAACCCGTTTTGAATTCCTTCGACTTCGACGAGATGACAAGAAGTTGTGTTCCATCCCATGGAACGGTTCCACCTCATGTTTCCCCAAGTTTCAGATCCTCTGGTTTGTCTGAATATAGACTAAGATAGGGTATTTCAAAATTTGCTGATGGTTAATCAGATAGTCATTCAATGTTTCGTCGTCACTACCTTTGCGAAAACACCATGATCACATATGATCACCATGAAAAAAACGCCTTTACAAAACATGCGAAACACCACCGTCGAGGCAAACACCACCAAAGTTCCGTTGCTGCCATCGCATGCGTCGCACGGGCCCAGCTAGAGATGTTCACATTGGTCACGCCAGGAACTGCTTGGTGCTTTGTTGATCCGCTCCAAAGGTTCCGAAAGTCCCCTCGTTTTTCTTCGTCCTAGCCTGGGTGTTGTCATTGAAAAAGGATTGCCTTATAAAATGACAAATCTCTGAATGTTTTGCCTATTAAATGACACATACAAACGTGGTGTTAGAAAATGACAAATTCCAAAGTTATAAAATCCGTTGTAAAATGTTGTAAATGTTGTTTTTCTGTTTCATGTATTTTTCCTTACACAATGTCAAACCCGACATGGGAAATCGACCACCCCCATCTGACATTTCATGAGGACATGAAACCTGTAATTGGAAACCAGACTGCGGTTTTTTCAAAAAGTCCAGAAATGGAAAAACAATCCAACTACCTTACTTCGAGTGATGCCCACCCTGACACACTATTCTGACATAGTTTCTGACATATCATTTGGTGTACAGTATATGGCATACATGTATATATATATATATTAATGTATATATATATATATATATAAATATGTATGTATATTGTAAATGGCCGGAGACCCTCCAAAGATAGCGAACCAATGGTTGAAATTGCTGTGAACTCTACTGTAACCAACTGACCAAAAAGGTAC